TATGGAATTTTATAAAAAAAACCAAATCAGTCTTTGAACAAAGATTGGAGTTTATTATCTCCGAAAACCTTTCACAATTTCGACCAAAGAAAAAAAACAAATGCTTGAAATATAATTTAAAATATCTTTATTTTGGTATTAAATAACTCAAACAACAATGATTCTATTATAAACTTTATTTTCATATTTCAGAAAAGCAATTAAGAATATTTATGAACGATTTATAAAATTGGAACCCTCTGGTAATACAGTAGTCGAATCTAATATATATAGGATATAATCAAAATATTATGAGATTTATAAGGTAATAGTTTTGATTCTTGTGTATAACTGGTTATACCATGTTATTTAGATTTTATAATCTATATAATATATTTTATGTAAACATTATTCTATGAGGACTAAGTACTAAAAAATGTAATACCTTTAAAAATTAAAAAATTGAGGAGATGTATGAAAGTGTCACTTTTAGATTTTCAAATTTTTTGTAATTATGATTGCAAGCAAAAAATTGTTTACAATTCTTTTATTTCGAATGATATCCATCGCTGAGGTTAACAAAACGAGTGACTGTCAATCCAACCTATTTTTGTAAATTCGAAATTATTATATTGTTTCTTTCAAATTCCGAAACAGAATATATTTTGGAGTACTTCGATGCATAAAATTGGATTTCTAACTAGTAGATAATAAGTTACTTTTAAGTATTTAAAGTTTATATAGACCAACATTTTGAGAAACACTTACCTCTGTTCTACGTAACTCCTCTCATCTAAAATTCAAATACTTATAAGTTATAAGTTATAACTAATGAACTACTAATTTCCTTGTTCAAAATTCAATTTTCATGTGTCAAAGTAATTTGAAAAATATTCTGTTTTGGAATATAAAATTACAAACGTTGTCATTCATTCATTCAAAAAAAAAAACTTAAAGAATGACGACAATAAAAACTGTAAAAATTTAATTTTCAAAAAAAAAACTCTTCAAAATGATGAGTGTTGACACTTTAATGGATCACATTGTATAACGCAAAAGATGGAGCTGAAAATTCAAACATTGCACAAAACAGAATATTATTATATATTATATTCATAAAATTCAAGTCTGAAAATGTTAGGCTCTGCATAATAGTATACAGAACATGTATGTTTTTATTTGAGTGAGTTGTATTTCAATTTAGTAAGCATATAAAAGTGTAAAAACAGGTTTACTTACGTCTCGCAGGCTACAATAAAAAAATAACTGATAGGTGTACCTAATTAATTTATCTCTATAATACTATTATTTATCATTTGCTTTATTGGCATTCATTTTGGATGGATAAATGTTACATTAATAAACGTGGTAACACGTTAATGTAGTGGTTTCTAACTGGTGGTCCTCTGGTCCGTGGACTCATCTTAAGAGATCAAAGCATTTTTTTATGATTATCAATTTGTATTAAAGATTGTAAATAAGTGATAGGGGTGGAATGGAATCAAGTAGTGATCCGCAGTTGTGGAAAATGTACAATAGTGGTACGTAGTACTGAGTTAGGAACCACTGCGTTACCTAATTCATTGTGGATGAGATGGCCATTTAAGCCGTGATCAAAATATAAACCGTAGAAAGGACTTTCACCAAATCATTTGTACACAGACTCAATAACTCTAAAAATATATTATTGTCAATCAAATAGAGTAAGTTGTATGTTATTAGTTTATTACCATAAAACAATAATACTATAGAAATGACACTCAATCAGTAGATCGGGGGTTTTTTTAACCTGTGATCTGACGACTAAACTTCCGAAAAAAACATTAAAACGAAAAAACCTGAGGCTATACGTACCTATGTTTTATTGAGTCACGAAAACATTTATTGCCACAGTCGCCTAGTTTGAGAAAACTACACAGTATCGAAGGGTTGATATTATTGTATTTAGTGTACAGCATATAGGGAAATATTGCAGTTAGGAAAATTATTTTAGACGGAAGAATTTTTTTCTTAAAACTTCAAATATTTTATTTATTTGTAAAACTTTTCAAATAGTTACTAACTATATTAGATTGATTATCTATTTCAGTGTGTTATAACAATTTGTTCTTATTGAATAATTATAACCATACTAATTGAAAGGTTTTATCATTCTTTTTAGGCTTCTTTAATATTGATATAATACAATATAGGTCCTCCTCATTATTATATTATGTGGCCTCGACCCCTTACCTACCCAATCAAAAAAAAAAAAAATAGTGGATCACCCCTAAAAAAATAACGGTCACTATGGTCTAAGCTAAGCCACTATCGTCTGCTGTTTCCCGAATGACCAAAAAAAAATAGTTTCTGTTTTAAAGACTATCGATCACAACTATTTACAAGATTGGCAGTGAAATAGCAATATATTTTGCATAGCTGTGGACTGGCCCCTAACATACAATTTTGGGATCCTGAAACTTCCAATAAAAAACAACCCATTACATGCGATTAGGTTTTCTCTTAAATTATGGAAAATGGTTATCAATGGTTAACTCACAGCTTAATATAACAAAATTATTAAAAAATAAGTATTTCCATCAAAATTTCAAAAGTCACAATTTAATTTCAACGGGCCCCTTTAATAGCAGGACCCTTGTATTCCAATTCCAATAGCTCTCAACATTTGGCCCTGGCTGTGGAATAGTATGACTATGACATGTGGCTTTTTTTTATACTCTTTTATCATTAATATAATCGACGTTTTTTTCTTAACCAATAGAATACTTGAAAACTACTAAACACCAACAGGAAAGAAATCATAAAAATGATATGTTACCAACTCGACTTGGTGATTTTTAATTTGAGAAATGTCATTTTTAGAAATTTCCATGAATATCTGGAATTTAATAATATTTTAAAACAAAACCTAAACATGTATAATATGTACAATACTGAACTCATAATAAATTCCTGAAATTGAATATAATAATATGTCAGCTATAAGAATCGCATACACTGTACCTTATATTATAATATTGTATTGTGTGAACTCATATTGAATATTATTCAAAAAATATATCATTTTTAACTGGCAGTCAAATATATTCTTTGAACTTAATACTAAATTAAAAATTCCTACTAAAACAATTGAGTGTATACTATTAAATACTAATTCGAATACACAACAATTTAACATATTATAATTGTATAGGTACTAGGTACTAGGTATATTATGTACCAGATCTGTCACAACATACGAATGTATGTTCAATAAAATTCTGTGAAAAGTGTCGTATACCGATTGATGCCTGTCGTCACTAATCAAAGTTACGATATAGATTTTATAGTTCAGCCATACATAAAACAGTTAAAAAGTTCAAATAACAATACGATATTGGTTTATCTATATTCTATTATTGTATCCCATCGGAACAGACTCTCCGGTATACGATAACGGTAATTTATGTTTTTTCTCGAAGCGACGTTATTATAGTTTTACAGTTTTCCAAGTGCAATCGTGCTAAATAGATTTATATTGATGATAATAATAATGATAATAACTACAAGTATTGTCCATTGAACGAAATTGTACCATAAAACCCGTTTTAATTGTAAAACCAACAGTCAACACGCTCTAAAATATTACATTTCTTATCGCACACGCAGTTCGGTATCGGCATTTGTGCTTATTCTCCTTTTATTCGGCAAAAATAAGTATTTACTATTTTGTGTTTTAGTTTTTGAGTCTATAAAATTTACAATCCTACAAACATTTCCTTTTCATGCGCATTTGAATAACAAATAATAATCTCCTAACTATTATTTTCTCTCATTATACCTGGTCATTACACGACTTGGTTAGGTTACTGCTTTTGTATTTCATACTATACGACTTCGTCAATGTTTTTTAATTTATTTCACTGCATGGATCGAGTCGCTAATGCATTAATTTACTCGTATTTTACCTGCCTTAATGTCATCATAATTATATCACGTTTAACATTTTTTCATGCGAATCTACTCTACGATATATTTCTAACGATAATATAATATCAGCTATTTCTCCCTACTATGTATTTATGTGGAGTTATTGGCATGACAAAAAATATGATTGAGTATTCATATAATAATTATAATTCATAATATAGATAGGTAGGTATGCACAAAAATAACGATATACTGTATATTATTTGCGATTGATGATACACGCGGGACGTCTGTCACACGATGAGCAGTGACGAATATTGCTAGCGCACGCTTCCAATCGTGATCCCCGGCATTTAAATAGATGTTTTATTGATACTTTACGTCGTTTCCCGGATTGCTAAGCGCGTCAATGTTGGCGGAAAGGAAATGACGGCTGTCGGGAGAAAAAGGAAAGCCAACGTGCTTATGATGTCACAGTATTAGCATTATTATTGTATAGTCCCGAGTTCGGCCCGAAAATGGAAAGGTGAGGCGGTTTTCCTGGGGTGAAAAGTGTATGGGTAATATTATTATATAGTTACGCCCGACGGTTCCTGCCGCTATATCGCCGGACGGACGAATATTAATAATATGTGGTTCGACCTCCACGGAGACGATTATGATGCGTGTGCGTGTGTGTATGTTTTGCGGCTCGATGAAAACAGACAAACGACGTCACGAAAACGAAGTCATCGAGACGCGGTAAACGATAATCAAGGCTGCGTGAAGGAGAGAGAGTGTACAATAATATTGTTATCATCATCACATGCGTACATCGCATTAGACGTGTCGTCGTCGCTCGGCGAATTATAATAACATTATAATAATGTTGTATTGGGCATAATATTACGCACAACTATAGTCTTCCGTCGGCGGCTGACAATCATAATCAGATCCTTGGTGGGAAGGTCACGACGACGACCGCGCGCAAAAAAAAAAAAAACGGCTGTTGCCGGTAGGGAAAACACTATTTGGACCAGAAGAGGTGGAAGCAGTAAAAAATGATATCGAATCGTATGATATTCTTGTGCTTGCGAATACGCGTCGTCGTTTGGGCTGCGATTTTTCGGTTCCGTATAAAAAACCGATTCTCCGAGAAGATCCTCCGCACATCGCGAATGCCGTCCGACCGGTGAGATCGTCTAGTGCAGTAATAATATTACCATCGATATAAAAGTATTATTATTGTTTGTCATTGTCGGCTGTAGTGGTCTTATCGTTGGTACCGCAAAGACACTACATACCTACCACTGAACTTCGTTTACAATAAAACATATTAATATAATACTCGTTTTCAATATAATATTTAGTAGGCCCGGTGACGATTTTTATCGAATCTCCGCTCGACGCGCTGATCATTTCAACATCAATTCACGTGATATTTCAACGGAATCGTACGACAAAAATATATTATAATAAAATCATCATCTAGCTGTTAGTCTCGTATTGTATAGCAAACTTGAGGTCTAAATCAAAGACATTCAAACCACACAGACGTCATGTTGCCCCGGATTTTGGTGGCCGTTCAGGTATTACTCGCCGTCGCCTTGGCTGAAATCCTGAAACCCACGTGGCACCAGTATTATTACCCAGGACATCACGCGTGAGTATTTCTTGTGAATTACCAGCTACGTATTTCCGATTTAATTTACTTTCAATATGGCCTAAAATTTTCTCTCACTGAATTATCATCTATCAAATAAACAAAATAGTTAACTTTGAGTAAAATATTAATAATAATAATAACCTTCTTCACATTCTGTAAAAATTACATAGTTAAATTGTTTTTTTTTTTATAACCATCAATTATGAACGTGCACCCCATACTATCAAATCGTTCTTTTTCATAATACATATTTATTAAATAAATCATTAAAATATACAAATAAATAATGGATCTGGAGGATGATAAAATAAATAATATTACCCTGGTCGACATACTCTCCCATATACATGCCACTCGTCATTGTGATTTAAAAATACAATAAATATTATAATAATTATAAATTGTCACGATGTATGTAATTATTGGGAAAAGTCTGTATATGGCCGTACTTAGCTACTTTCCTCAAAACAAAAGAAGAGTTTTGACCATTTCCTCTATATTATCAAAATAAGATATAGTAAGATTATCAATTGATATTTTGTACTTTTATGGTGCTTACTTTAAGATTTTTTTCATATATTTATTAAGAACAAAATAAATCAATAATAGGTTGGTTAACCAAATAACTAATATGCCTTACTTATAAACTAATGTATATTATATATTTACTCATGAATTATTAGTTATTAACAATTATTATTTTTTATAATTATGCGACATAATAGCACAAAATAAATATACATGTTTAAAGAAAAGAAATATTAGTTGGTAATATCACTATAATATGTACATTTATATGTAACACAAAGATTGATATAAAAAAACTTTAAAAAAAACCTTTAACATGTAGGATGGGACAAAATAGTTATTGTATAAGGCGGATAAATCATTATTTCGCTTTTAATAATCTTCTAGAGATGTCTTTATTTTTTTAGTCTACTAATAAATTTCATTATTGATTCGATCGCTCCACGCCGTTTGTTAGATCGGTAGTTTTTTTTTTTTGGTCTGCAGATTATCAGTGCTTTACTTTTTCTTGATACATTCATAATACAGTACACAACAATACAAATGATATTATGTATGCTGTTGTATGTTAAAATATTGGTAATTTATTTTAAGAAAAATACATAATTTTAGTCCAAAAAACATGGAAACTAACCTTTTTTGTCGGGGGGAGGGGGGGTTGAAGTGAAAGAAATTGGTTCCACCCCTATGTATGATGTACCTTATAGTCATTAACTTCCAAACTGAAAAACGGTCCAAGTGGTTATGAATATTATATTTGCAGCTGATGTCCAATACTCTCAGTACAGTGGACTGATGGACAGAACAGTAGAAATAGATGTAAGATCATACTGTGTTCGTTGACTCAATTACAGATGGAATGTAAAGAGGCGCAAATGAGGCTAATGAAACTGGGAGTGGGTGAGGCAGTGAGTGTAATATATCCTTAATGATCTTCTTTTCAATATTTATAATAACACATATAAATCGACTATCATGAATTATGTTTTTAATGATCAAAAATAATAGTTTATGTTGACAAATAATTCATATCCCCCTCAATCATTTGACCACCACTGATCTGAATGATTTTAAGTATGTAACTTTTTTATAAGAATTTATTTATTTTTATTTCAATATTTTCACTGAAAACTTCAACCTCGAACATGATGAGATACTTTTTTTGCTAAATGATAAAATCTATTGTGTTTCAGTACTTATTTTTATTGAAAAAAAATATTAGAATTGAATCTACAATAATGCTGAATGAAATTCTAAAATTTAAATTAATTATGATTCACATTGGAAAAATCTGAGAATCGCTAGAATAATTTTATTAGCTTAAAAATTACTCATTCAATAAAATATGATTTTTTTGTTATGACTATATTATAATCATCAACATTTTAAGTGCATAAAGATGGTTAGTACAATAGATAAGGAAATAGGTAGGTACTATCATAATCGGTAAAATAACGAAAAAAAATATTCATAATTTTTAACAATTTGGAATTAGCCAGCTGTAAGTGCTAAAACAAATACGATCAGTAGCGATCTATTATGCTCCTAAGTACCCTTTAGTGGTGCTAATGGCTAAGTAAAATATTATTATTGAACATTTTTGAAAGCCATTTTTTGTTGCTCGATAGCACTGCGTGTAGTGCAACGTGTCCTTTCTTCGGCCGCCCGCTCGTCCACCCTGAACACGCCAAGTCACGGGCTATACCGAAGACGCCGCGAAAAAATTGTTCTCCGCGACAACATTATACATTATTGCATCGAAAACGAATGTCGACAGCTAAATATATATTTTATCCGATTTGTTCGAACGGTTTGTGAGCACATTTTTTTTGTAGACTTTTCGCAACACGTCATAATAAGTCTTTTATGGGTATTTATATACATATATATATATATTCCAAAGTACGGAATAAAATATAGATGTCGTAATCTAGTTTGCAAAAGCGCGTAAAACTTTTGAAAATATTGCGAAAGACGTGTACGTTGAAGAACGTATAAAAAGTATAGCTTTTTTTTATACTTTTTGTTCGATCGACCAGAATAAAGTTTGACTACACGTACGTTGCTTAGGATTTTTTAATTACGCTTAAAATGTATTCGGGATTTTTTTCAGCTCGAATTCGACTCCACAAAATTATAATAAATTTAATCCTACAGACAGTTTACAAAATTTAATCAGTTCGAGACGCCATCCAGAGAATTCTTAAATAAAAGAAACGTTTCGCAGACGTATTGTTTTTGCGGTATATTGTACGTATTTATATACGACACAGTCTCGTACGGGGGAAGCGCGAGCTATTATAGAAACACTTTACCATAAAAACAATAGTGTTGTTTTTTCTTTCTTTTAGAACTTTAAATTTAAAAAAAAACCGACTTGATTTAAAAAAGAGTTTGTATATATATTATGTAGTCAGTATATTAATTGTTATTGGTCGTTTTTCATAATATCCATTGAAAATAGTTTCTTTTAAACGGGTTTTATTGTTGTTATTATTATTTTTTTTTTAATAAAATGAAAAGAGTCAATCTCTACACGACGGGTTTACGTGCTTTGACACATTTAAACGATGAATTTTAAATTGCGTTAGGATTTTTTTGTCACGTATTTGACATTTCTAAACCATACTATACCTACCACACCGTACCATAGGCCGTAGTCATATGCTTGAAATGTCGTTTTTCAAATGACATTATTCATCGAATGTTTTTATTTCAATCGTCGAAATTCATTGTTTAAAATTGTCGGACAACGTTCAAATACTTTGAGTGCAAATGAACAATTAATATTATTCAAATGTAATGAGGTAGGTTACCTACTGAATAAAAACCCAAATATTTTGTATTTTGCACCGTCAATTAGTTAGTTTTTAACAAAAAAAAGCGACTTTTGGAATACCATGCACAAGGACTTCACCCTACCCGGAGCGTAATTATTCGAATATATTGTATTTATAGTGCATTGTGGGGCCTTTAAAATTATGTGCCCCTTTTTTCTTCTTATTTCCCTGTCCCGGCGTTTGACCTACCCGGAAGTGCTTCCGCAGTGTTACTTCAAGAGCCACAAAACAGTGACTGACCCGGTATAATAATATCATACCGGACGTTTCAGGGATCAGAGCGTATAATATTGCATAAAATAACCGACCCTCTTGACGGGCAACAAAACTGCGAACTCGGTTAATATTAAATTACTACCTACTTTAATATCTTTAATACAAAGAGATTATAATATTTGTGTAATTACAAAAGTTCGTAAATTATATTATATATATATCATAATAATATAAGATATATGATCACTGTGTAGTGTATAGAATATCGGTATAACAGGGGAGGAAAATTCCAGGGAACATATTAGATTTCACATTTCACAGGGATCATAAAGATAATACGGGGACGAATTATTATTGACTCGTAATAAGACCAAATATTGGTGTATAACTTTAGTATTATAATAACTTAAGTATTCAATAATACGATTTTTGAAAAACTTAAATTAAAAAAAGGACACACATTGACGAAAAATATAAAAATACAATACACTAGGTTACAATAATTGCAGGTTATTTTTAGGATTTCATCAATATTCCTATTTGCTTTAAAATAACCTATAGATTACCTACGCCAGTGACCAATTTATACATATTGCGGATGTCCTGGTTATTCGAATGGCATAAATAATTATGTAGTATTAATTATTAAATAAATAATTGAAGAAAATAATAATCTATTTGATATTGGTTAATTTATGTGTGCATAAATAATTACAATTTAGAATCATTGTAAAAATAACTAAATCAGACTAACCATAGTCATTTATTTATTATATTATTATCAAATTAGCTTATGGTACTCGTATGTAAAGTTTTTTAATTTTTTTTAAATTTAAATTGTAAGTGAGCACAGATGAGGTAATATGTGCATTATGTTTATGAAGACAATTTTTTTTAAATTGTATAAAATTGATTTGATTCTAATATAAATTACTCTGTTAATCAGATTTAGTTTGTTTTCAAAAATTCTTAGACTGTAATATTACAAACAGAATAATGCAGGTACATAGATAATATAATAAACAATTATAATATTATTTCATTAACATACAAACAATTCTTTATCTATACATTTTATAAATTGTATTAATTTAATCTAATAAAAATTAATATTAATTAATATAATCAAGGTATGGCCAGGACGAACAAATCTATACATTTGTGTGTGTGGCTAAATCGAAAGTTATTTTTAAACATCGTGTATCCAATCCACTGATAATTGTACAATATTTATTTTTACAAAAATAATAATATACTTAAGCTAAATATGTAAAAATACATAGGTAAATCAAAATAGGAGAAAATTACAATAATATAGGTATCTTAAAATTGTAATAAATAGTAAATGCAAAAATGTAATTTTAAACAGTTTTTGACATTCCCGGGAATTTCTAAAAATATTGGGAATGGAAATATTCCTTCACTTGAATTTTTCCGAAGTTTTTTGCTTATGTTTAGCCAGCGTTACTCGATGATGGATTATGATAAAATAAAGTACAACTTTCTAATTTTATACTCGTTTATTATTTTTGACGTAGTTGTATCTCACGATACTAAAACAATAACATTATCTGTAAAACGGAGCTTTTTGTGCGTTTATTAAGTAAAAAAAGAACAAAAAAAAAAAAAAAATAAGCTGGACATTCGTACCTAAATTAATGAAATAACAATGTAATTAAAAATTATGAGCAACGGAAAATCAAACTTTCTCTGAAATCTAATTAAAACATTTATTGTTCGATTAATATTAATATATTTTTTTATTTTATCAAGTTTAGTGACTAATACGGTGAAGTTTTTTTTCCATTAGGCGGTGTCGTTAAAAAAAAAATTGTTTGAGCTTTATAGCAAAAAAGTAGTGTTTCTTTATCCAAGAGAAGAAGCTTTTTAAAATGTCTCCATACATTTTGGCACGAAAATTACGGCCCTTTGACCGTTTACAAACACGCTCGCACATCACAATCTCACGTATATTATAGTAAAACACACACACCCTCACACACACACACATATACATACATAATACATATATTATACGCATATACGTGAATATGTGTGTTTGAGTAGGAATCGTAATAAAACCTTCACTATACACTTTATTTTAGACTTTTAGTGTATAAGCTCACACACGATCTGACGCAGTTTATTTTTGTTTCAGTTACGGTATACGGTATTTTGAAAAGCTGGCTTCGATGCGAGAGAACTTCCAGAAGGGAATACCATACAACAAGTAATGATTTAATGAAAATCTGGAAAGATACATAATAGAAATTTAATTAACATGGGACAAGGTATTTTAGTTTCGGGAATAGCCAGTTGAACATACTATTATTTTTTGTTGTAACAATTTACGAGTTAAGAATTTTAGTTTAAATGAGTTCATTATTTATATTATATTGATTTTAATTTACACCTACATACATTAAGATTTTAAGATTAAATTCCACGAGAAAAAAAATTTATTATAATTTATTTCATCTGGGATAACAAAATACAATCGTGAGCTGGACGTTTCTCGTATGAGTTGGGTTTATAAATAAATCGGGTTTCGCCTCACACGGTCAGTGGTTTAATTTCCGTGATCTCGAGATTTTTTTAAAAATAATTATTTTCAAAGTGTGGTTTATTAAAAATCATAAAAGGATTTAAAAACCTCCATTTCAGAGGATTAACGTTCAATATCATTATCATTGCTAATTAGGTAACTTTGATGCAACACTGTAAATTTGATGTAACCACCAGACCTCGAATATAACACGTACCGTCGGCAATAATTATACTATTATTTTATTTTTCATATTAAGGATTCAAGCCTGGTACTTTGTTGTGGGGGGGGGGCTGTTGGTTGGAACACGTTTCTATGTGTGGCAAGGATGTGTTGCTAAAAACCTTGATGGTCACCCATCCGAGTGCGAGACCAACGACGGCCGGTACGTACGCTCAGAGCGTTGCCGCAGATTGATCATACGGCCGCGTCTCGCCAAGCCACAATATTATACTATTATGTTAGGTATAATATATTAGGTATAAGCTGCACTTCGACAACCAAACGCGTTCGACGACCAACCCGACTCTATCTGTGTGAAAACATTAAAAAGCGCGGTGCCGACGATTCTGGTAGTTTTTTATTATACGCTTTCGTTTTCAATTGGGCCGATTTATTAAACGCCATGGTTAATCCATACCCATAAATGCGTACACGTTAAAAAGTTACGACATGTACCGACTCGACTTGGGTACGTGTTTTCGGGACGTTAAATATCGTTACGCCCGCGCGACACGCTCGTCGGCACTCGGCATCCCTCTAAACGATTTCGCATCACTCGTAAACGAGTGTTATTTTTTTTCCAGAGTCGATAATTTTTTTGTGCACCGTGCTAGGTGGCATTTCGGCTGACTTTAGTTGAAAATATACAGTTCACAAACACACCATGGTTCGTGTGCATGCCTGCACGAATAAATTATCATCATGCATTACAAACTGTACAGGGTGTGATTCACTAAGCATGCTCCATCACTTTTTTTTCCTCTTCAATGTTGCATTTTTTCAAATTCTGAATTTTTAAATTTTTTTTTAGTACACTTAAAGTGGGAGCTACCATGTTTTCAAATGTTTGGATTTACATTCATTCAAAACCATTAAATGGTATATTGCGTATCTTGTAGCGATGTAAACTTAAATATTTTTAAATGGCAACTCTAAGATATTTACTGTACACTGTTAAGCAGATGAATATTCTGAAAACTATACATCAACATAATATGATATTTTTATTAAATGAAAAAAGGTTCAAGTCCATACGGTCAATAAATTTTGGGAGTTCCAAAAAAACAACAAAACCATTTTTTGTGTTGAAATGAACATTTCTGTCAACATTTGAACTCAAAATATCTTTAAAAAAATTGTTCATAGGTGTTCATCTATTTTTGTATAAGCAAACTGCTATAAATACAATTTATGAGATATTTTGTATTTATTTAACGTAGGCACCTCTCCAGTAGGTATGCATCGAATGTATAGGTTTTGTATTTCACCGGAGGATAAAATAATTAAATTTCCACAAAATCCTAATTAAATTCGAAATTAAAAATCAAGCTTCCGAATAAGTTACTGAAGTGGGTGTCTTTAAATGTTTGTTAAAATATTTCGTTGAAATGGCCCGTATAAAGCGTAATCATCTTGTTTTGATATTGCATATTTTTGCGTGGGTATAATAGTTTTGTTAATATTATATCATGTTGTGATGAAACAAACAACAAACTCATTACATGACATTTATTTAATATACATGTTTTAGAGGACCCCTAAGCTTACCGAGCACTAATCAAACATGAACATCGGCATGGACGTAACTAGGGGATTGCTAGAGGGGGCTAAGCGTCTAAGCTCCCCCCCCCCACCATATACTTTAAAACTTGTATGGGGTAAAAGCCCATCCTGTTCAAAAAACTGCCATGGGTTCTATGTCTAAAAAAAATGAATGATTATAATATATTATGTATATTGCATAATATAATAAATTAATATTGTGCACGTAAATACTTACCATGTGCAAGTTTGTATACTAAAAGAATCAAAACATACATCAGCACGACTGAGACCCAAAAACAGATTTAGTTTGTCTGACTTTAGTTTATACAAAAATATGATTTTCGAGAATGATATTTTATAAACATTTGCTACTAAGTATGGGCGTATAAAGTAAAATATAATATTACACTTCTTTTATAGTTAACGTTTATTTTGAATAATGAGGAGGGGGAACTTTTATTGCATGGTTTACTATAAACTTTGGTTTTCTAGGATTCTAACCCCTGGAACTGTTACCAACTATGTCGAACATCGGCTAGTTGTATAATATTATATTACCCATTGTATGAGTAAAATACAGAACTTTCTAAATATTAATAATAGTTAAATAACTGAAATAGAAAAATAATGATACTACATTCCAGGTATTTGTATTTTTCAAATGCATTTATCGCCCCTATCGGAATCTAAGATGAGATTCGGTGTACAGGTACTCGTCATTTTATGAACTAACGATGTTTTTTTTGTTGATATTTTAATTTTAGGTACCTATTGTTTTATTGGTTTAAACAATAATTAAGAACTTCACATGACTAAATGGTGCATATGTACTTAATAAATACTTACCTAGTATTCTGTTCAGATGAATTTTTATATTTTCTGGTAATTGTTTAACTGTACCAATTCACATGGCATTTACTTGGAATTTGGTTGAATTCATTCGAGTGCGGAATTATATACTATGGTTTCGACTGTATGTTCTGTGCAGTAGAGCTTCGTTTCGTGCATTTTTCTCGCGTTGAAGTGTTCTGATAAAAAAAAATATATTGAAATTTCAATAAAATGCGAATACTATTATGCCTCTTTTATTATTTATTTTTTTTATACATTTTTATTCGTTGAATGCCTGTGACAGTTTTGTTAATTTAAAAAATGTATATATTGTTAAGTTGACAACGTTTGAAGTGGAAACGGCAAGAACGAAAACAATGGCGATTCAAACCCAATTATTTTGATTAACAACATAGGGAAGTATAATAATGATGATTATAATCATATCATACATATAATTGTGTAAAAAATAATAAATAACGAAGCCGAAAATCTATTTATATTTGTTTAACAACTAATTAAGGTCAACTCAGAATATCGAAATATGAATATTTATAATAATTTCACATGTGTCTTAGATTCGATTGAAATTTATACTTATTAAAATGTTTATTTTCATTCCTAATTTTTGGAAAATTAAATCGTGGTTATAGTGGAATTCGAATAATATTCTGCACAAAAACCGAGGTTAAATTTAAAAAAAAAACAAAAGTGTTTACGGTCTCTGTTGAGGTATTTTGGCTTCCTACAACGATCAAATCACATTACTTATTAGATATACGCCATACGGAAGAGCAGGAAATTTGGATTTATTCCATTTAGTTTAAAATTAATTTCACTACTGTAACGATCCTAATATATTATTCTAACTTAATGTTATTTATTGTTTTGACGAAAAAAAAAAACAAGAAATAAAAAAACCATTGTTATCTACTCATTATTTCATCATGGTGTTAAATACAATGTACCGCCGTAAGAACATTTAAATTGTATTTGCTTAGTAGTAAAACAATTAAAATACGAATTAATTTTTTTCAGTATCATATTTGTAGAATTTAATTTTAATTATTAGAAAAAAATAATCATAGCTTGTATTGCTAGTTTTATACATATAATATATTCAATGCAATTAAAATTTAAACACATTAAAAGTACTTTATTAGTATTGTAACTACCTGTAGTTAGTTTTTTTGTTCATTCAAAGAAAACAATTATGAATTATTTTTTTTTAATTCAAACAAAAGGTACACAAAACAAAAACGATGTCATAAAATGTAAAAAAATGTTACTTGTAATTCAGATTGTATATATTTTATTTGCACGAATTGTAATGATTAACATTTAAATGTACAAAGGAGTTTTTATTTTATTTTATATAGTTATTCTTGAAATACTAATACAAACAATAATTATTTTATAAACTAACGCCAATAAATAAACCTTGTGGCTATTAGTCGTAGTTAATGTTAAAATGGATAAAGAAAAATGTTCTTGGACATGAATGTTAAATACAAATGGGCTAATTCTGTTTCTGTTTATTCGTTCATAATCTCAGTGTGGTTGTCAATTGCCATAAATTATGCAACAGTTATCAAAAGTTATGGATGGTTAATATTTCAATACACTGACATTGCATTTTGAAATGTTTAATAGATATTCCAAAAATGTAGTTGCTGTTTTTTGGCTTTAAAATAATACAATATTTAAAAATATTAAATACTAAGATTATATTTTTCTACCTACCTTTTTTATTCTTGTAAGGTATCTATAGTTTCACGAATGGCAGAGGAAAATGGAATTTTTCATAATGTTTTAAAAATATTTATTTACACTATATAGGTACCATCATTTATATACAGGTGATAGATATAAGCAGAGTGAAAATAATTTCACTTTCAATAATTGTATATAAAATATATTCAGCTAAAAAATAAGAAATAAAAATCATTTCCATTGTACGTAAATAATTCTTAGGGAATTTTTACAGATGGGGATTTTACAACCGAATAGACACTGCGTCGGTGACGGAGAGCAAAAAGACACGGAGGCTGCGAGTGGGCAGTGGATGGTGGAAACTAGTGCCGCCGACGGGCGCCGAAATAAATTGTGAATTTCCGAGTACTGTGCCGGTGATATCCGTAAGTACGGGTCTGACAAAACAGAATTAACTCTAATTGGCACGGACAAGTGGCGCGGAAAACCAAACACAAATACTAAAAAAAACACGTTATGTGTACAACGAAATTGTACCGTATATAATAATTAAGTCCAATAATATAGTCTGAAAGAATGGATTTTGTAAAACAGATTTATGTCGCCGACGAGAGGACGAATCAGCGTATTTCGTGCGCCTACTGTAGCATTTTCTCATTTCACCGGAAACAGTCGAACTCTCATGTGTTAAGTCGATGCTATATAAAATTATTCTTTTTCCTCGATAGACCTTATATTACTTACTGAAAGGAATTTTCAATGCCATTCGGCGAAGAATCAATAATGAGGTTCGTACGAACTTTTTTCGTTACATTATTGTTTCTGTAAACGGAGGTGGTGATTGCCAGTATATAGCAGGAGCTTTTATCAGAATCGTTTTCATTTTTAAAATAAGAATCCTAGTAAACTTGTACAGTATAGTTGACTGAGTTGATGTTTAATCAATGCTTACTTAAACGTTAACATAGAATGAGGATTTACTAGAAAAAAAAATCATACATGTATAAAAAAAAAAAACGTTTTTTTCCTGAATTTGTTCAGATGGGATATAGTTCCTATCCTTAGTAATAATTCTCAAATATTCGTAACTGAAATTATGAATTATGACGAGAATATAATCGTGTGTAGTCCGTATGTTTGATTTCATATTCGGTGATTTTATACATAAAATATGATATTATACACTCGTATAGTAAGACATTATTATTATTTTACTTCATATAATTTTATATATTAAAAACGTTAAAAACTTTTCACGGCCATGAGAACGAATCAATAGTAGGTACCTACCAATAAGTTACGAAGAAAAAAAGCGATAAAAAAAAAAAAACCCGGAATAATAAAAAAAAAACTCCGTTTCTGTATTATTTAGATATTTATTATAAGTTGACTGAAAAATTCAACTCTGAATCTAATGTGAAAAAAACATCATTTAAAAAAATAAATTGTACCGTTTGCGTGTAAACACAATACAGTTATAGATCGGACGCGATAAATGTTTTTTTTTTTTGTGGTTGGGGCACAACATTATTATGCAAATATTTTAATACCGGAAGATTATTTGAACGTGAAACTCGTTATTTACAAAGGTATTAACGTTTTTGAAAATATTATTTTTACATAATATCTCAATATTACCAAACAGCGTTTTAAAAATTATTTAATAGATTTTTAAATTTTTTTCTTTTTTGAACAACTACATTCTTAATTTTGTGAACCAAAACAGAATATTTTTTGTAGTGTTATAAACTTTGTACGAGTAACTAATTAATTATAGATATAAATTGAAAGTTCTGACGAGCGGAGTAGCAGGCCTACGTCTTGATAGGTACCCTTTGCTGTGCTTCTCCACTCCGCTCGTCTAAATATGAACTATATTTAGGTACTTCAATAACTACCTATTTAACAATAATTGGTTCAAAGTTTCGAACCTAGAATAATTTTTTTCAAGTCTGTTGTTTTTGTATTGATTTCTAATCAGGCATATAAAAATTAAATTTTTCCTAAAATATTAATAGTTTTAGAAACAATGAATACTTTACTTTAAAATTATCAACTATCACAATATTATTATATCTGTACAATCTATGCAAAATATAGTTGCACCCCAAGTGGCTGTATTCTCAACACTTTTCAAGACAATATTGCGCGAAGTCGATGTACGCCTTGGAATCCGAGAAAAGATGATTATCGTGCATATACGTACAGAGACAGTTTTACTTAATTACCCTTTTCATAAGAATCTCATTATGATAACATAGGACATTTTCCAACTTCCGGTGAAAAACAGAGGTACTGAATGGATAATTGTAATGACAAGACGCATGTTACGTGCAAAAAATGTACGTAATATTCAATTTGTTTTATTGTCAATTCTAAAAATTGTTTTGATTCATATTTTATACAAAATTTAATAATAATAGGTAGTTTTTTTAGGGACCTGGTTTGGCTTTTTGGTTGGCCACAGTCACTAACGTATTCTGAGATCAAGTATCAGCTGGCATCGCTAGCTCTCAGATGGGTGACCACTGACCACCCAGGTTTTCAGTGACGAACCCTTCCCCCCCACAGTATAAAACGACTAATAACCTTAAGACTAATGACCTCAAATGTTGAAGCCTTAAGTCAATAAAAAAAAAAAAAGTTATTTGTACATATTATTATATTTCTGTTTAACTTCATTATACTAAAGGGATATTTGTAAGTTAACATTTTTATTGTACTGACTACTAGGGTACCCTGTAAGATACAACCTTATAACTTTTTACCACATTATCCTATCCTTAGGGAACTTAGTATTCCCTATTTAAGAAGTGTATTTATAATATTATTGAAAATATTTATTGTTTTAGTTTAAACTTAATGCGGTAGTGAAAGGGTTCCAAATGTATACAATACTGTTATGGCGGCGATCGGAACTCGCAAACGGCCTTCCATTCCATAAGCAGACAAGCGGGTTGCCGAATAACGCAATTCAGGGTGTAGGAAGTGTGCCATATAATTATGTTATTATATAATCGTTGTAATACAATCCGTACAACGATCTGCAATTTTCTACTTGGAGTTAGATTGGATTCAAAAAGTTCCTTCGACGCACGCGATCGAAACTTCGTCGTTTAATATGATCACCGCAGTTGTGCACTTTGTATATTATTTGAATCTGTTATAAACCACACTAGTCCATATAATAAAAGTTTGTAGATAACACATAATATAAACCATATTATAGTATCATGTAAGACAATACTGTCATGACTCCAGTAGTGTTTGTAGTGTTGACATTGGCAGACCTATACTTACACTAAATTTTCTGGGATTGGTCAGAATTAGGACGTCGGGAAGTCTAAAGAGGAAAATATTAGATACCGTATAAACCCATCATTTCGGGTCGTAAACACGTGCCATAATTGACATGCATATGACCTGTTAAGGTGATTGTGTGCTATTAGCCGTGGTATCTTTTATATACCTACTACATTTATATACTTTTTATATTCTTGGACTTTGCAGGGTATTAATATTTTTGCTTGATGGTCTCGTACATTTTTTAACCCTGATATAAAAACTAACACACCGAAGTCGTTTAAAAATAACTCATCCGACTTGGGTACTCCTTCATACCGATTGTGGTTTGGTGGAGCTCCACCTACAACCTCAGACTGAGTCTTCAGGAAGACTTGGAATTGTGGATTACGGTGTATAATTTCAAATTTGTCGGTTTGCAGAACATCGTGTGGGAACGAGTGGACCCGGGAAAAGCGGACAAGGAGATGGCCATGAGGCGAATGGGCGAGGTGCAGACGTACGACATGCACCTGAGGCCCAAAGGCAGCACGTTGCATTTCCACGACGTGACGCCCCTGGACAAGGGCCTTTACAGGTGTCTGGCTTCGTCCGTGGACAGGCTGACGGGTGAACCACAAACGGTGTTTCAAGACACGGACTTCTACCCGGACGTGGTCTGAGCCACGCTCGTCCTCTGATCAACCCCGGAGACAACGACGACGGCCACAGCTGTTGCAAGCGTGTGCCGAGACTGACAGAGGAACTCACGTCGTTCTATTATATATGTAATAATATAATTGAGATCCCACCGTAGTGTCGCATACGTTGTATTATTTAAACCATTGTTGTTATTACTATTATTATTATTATTATTATTATTATTTTTATTATTATTATTATCATTTTTATTATTATTGACATTGTCATCGTCGTCGCATTACCAGAATATTCAAGGGCTCGTCTAGTAATCAAAAAGTGGAGAGGACCCAGACTCAAGATGTGCACTTGTAATTCGTAAAATATAGATAATCATAGCTTTAAAATGTGATTAGCCACCAACATTAGAGTTTTGTAGGCACTGTTGAAAACAAAATACTGACAGGTATATTGTTTTTTGAGTAAATACGAGTAGTAATACGCGATTAAACATTTTATCTAGATAATGTCATATAATTTTAAATGCACGAAAGGTGTATATAATATGATACAGTATCTAAGGGTACCGCCTCCATAACCCTGAACCATTACGAATATTGTAATATCGTTTGCTTGCGAGTATAATATTATTATGTGTGTTGGACGATTAAATAGTATAGTGTCCGTTCGGCAACCACGTCGAAGCGTTAATCCGATGGTTTTACGGATCAAACGTGATCGCGAAGTCTGAAAAAAATGTCAAGGCTATCCGTCACGCAAATCTGTTTTATTTTTAGATAGCAATAAATTATGATGCGCAAAACGTTCTGTTTGTTTTTTATTTTTATTCATAATATTATAGTTAATTTTTAACATTATATTTATTATTACACGCTACCATTTTTTTTTTTTATTGTTTGTTATAGATTACTACGTGACAAAAAAAACATCCACCTACTATATCTTTGGTTAATTTGTAACTCATATCGGATTTTGATTACCTATGGTAAATTTAACTATGTACCTTCAATAGCTATAATAACTCCTTGTTAAAAGTTAATAAAAAAAACATTACCTATGTATACGGTAGTATAGGTTCCGTGTGCATGTGGATTCGATTCAATTCAAATGGCATAATGTAATACATCTAATATTCTGAGTCTTGCTATACAGAAAAGTAGTTTTAATTCAGTTTGTCGACTGCAAAGCACATACTACATAGTATATTGTGAATGGGGATATACATGGTCACGAAGTTGGCAAATTCTGAGAACGTACTCGCAAATACTAGCAAATTACTCTCACAATTTTGGCATTCATTTTGAATGGATCTTGTAATGTCTGTGGGCCAAATTCATGGACCTGTAATTTACTCACAGTATTTAATATTTTGTACACGAGTTTATTCAAATATTCATATATCTAATACAACACGACATCTCTTGTTTTAATTTAAAGATATCACAGCAAAATAAATCAAAATAATAATATACCGAGCCAAGTACCCTTGTCGTCTGCAGAGATCGAGATATTACATTATTATAATATTGTTTTTTAGGTATATTTTTTGCCCAAAACTATATTGCAAATAATTAGAATTAAAAATTCGCAGACTAAAAAGTATTATTCACATTTTTAACCGTAACTACCGGTTTTGATCTAAGCTATTTACAGGTTACATACAAATTTATAAAAAGTTAATATTATGATAAGCAAAATTAATGAAACACAAAATATAAAGCTAAAAGATAGAAAGGCAGTTAAGTTTATAACACTATGTGTAAGGATAGAAATATTTAAATGGTACCTACCTATTCATTATAGATTGTGAGTTTTTTAATTATAATTATTTTCAAAAAAAATGTTTTTTTCTATCGATAACGAGCGATAATCCATTTTTAACACTTTGTATAATACTAATATCATATTCATGTGATAGGTTTTAAAATAAACATCAAAAACAATTTTCCGGTTTAGGGTTAAAATACACATTTTGTTATTGCTCCATGTATTATGGAGAGGTTTGACGTCCCAGTAACAATTCTATTTTAATTAAATCGTTTGATTAGTCTATTAAGTATAAAGATAAAAAAAATACGATCAGTAAAAATATTTTATTATGCATACCATCGTCCGGAGAATGAAACGTGAAAACAAACGGCAAAGTGTAATATCCACCACTAAAATAATAATTGTAATAATGTTTTAAAATATGTGAGGGAGTCTGTACACCCGAAGATAAACTATACAAAGGCGCTGTTTTGGAAATTCAGAAATTGGAAACGAAATTCTCTACTTACGCTACGTCGCTACGCCACATGGGATGTATAAAGAAAACAGATCTTTTGTCGTGATCTCTGTATAATATATGTTTTCAAATTAAAACGTACACGCGTCGAGTACTTTATAAGCAAAATAACATAAACTTCGTCGTTCAGTGTTATATTATTATACCAACAGAATGTTTTTATTTCGTGGTATGGTTACCTAATAAAAATGAGTTGTTGTTATTATATTTCTCGAATGATCAGTAGACACGAAGCTTAATGATTTACCGTTTTGGAGACTAGACTGACAGAAATGTTTTGACATATTTACATCGAAATATAATTTTAGAATATCACCATAATTTAACGCAGCGATGTGAAATGTTTGAAATTTAGTAGTTATCAAATAACACCCTAACACAATCGGCACATATTTTGTAATTTTTGATACTGAACTTAAAATAAATTCTAATATACATCGACTAACCATGTAGTCTATATATATGCTAATACAATGGGCGACAGAGTGACCGAGCAGACTAAGGCGTCAGTCCTAACGCACACAGTTGACGGTTCGAATCCTCCCGGCCAAGGACACCATCGCTCTCTGGGCAGGCAATTATCGGCGAGACCTATATCCCTCAACCTGGCATGGCAGAAACCTAAGGGTACCCAACTAGAAATTCTACCAAATAGGCGTCCGAACTTTACGGCTTCAGGTTTACTCCCGGACACATCGCCCTTAGCAAAAAAAAAAAATTAAATTAATGCACCGATATGTTTTAATATAATATATAATATGTACATTGTTTTATTAACATTTTTTATTGCTTTTTCAGAACGTTTGACATTTTAACATATCCTACTTACATCACTATATTTAATAATGAAGTGGAATTCGGTTCACAACACTAAAATATGTACTTTATTTTTGTATCAAAATGTTTTAAGATAAAAATTATAATAATATACATTTACACTACAGGTATTATTATTAAAGTGTATTTTTAAATATATAATATATAGTTCTTACTAAGTCAAGTAGTCATCCAATGGTATTTATGACTTACGGTACTTCTCAGTTGTAAAAGCCGATTGCTTGTTTTATGAATATGATTACATGCACAATATAACTTTATATTTATGTTCAAAATAATACACAACAATAGGCATGTAATTGTATAAAATCATCAAACAAAAGTATTTTCATTTCTTTTCGACATAGTCCTTTGGGGACGAAGGGGGGGGGGGAATTCTCAGGATTCCTTCAGCTGTGTATAATACTTTAATACAAATATTATTTTAACAATTACAACTCATTTTTTTAAAAAATCACTTCTTGCTTCTTGCACAACCTAAAACGGTTACGCTCATTTAGGTTTGCTGTTGGAATAATAATCATTCTGTACCTACCTATCTAATAATAGCCTTTTGGGGGTTTTAAAATTAAAAGTCTATTTGGACGTCGTGTTATACGACAAGTTTTTTCCATGGCATACCCACAACATTCTTTCCTATATCCTACGCTATCATATGATCGACTGATCATTTCGGTCATTCACTTTTCATACAATGGACATCGGTGTATATTATATTATTATCATAACGCACTGATCATTATTCGAATCATTTCGATTACCTAATACGATATAACTTTATGCTATATACGATTGCTTCACAATGCTGTGGTCCATTTACGTACAATGTTCATATTATATACCTACAATGGGACAATCTACATTTAGCCAGTATATTGTACTGCGAGCAGTAAATCGAGTGGAATTTAGCAAACAAAATGTTATTGGCATTTGGAATGATCGGCAGTGTTCAGTCTACGGAATCCAGATGCAAGCGTATACAGGGTGATTTACCGATAGTATTTTCAAACACTTATTTTTTTATACAATTTAAGAGCCGCTTATTGTAAATTGTTAAACGCTTGAATTTTTTTTTGAAACTAATGATGTTTCTAAATAAAAATTCTAACGAATAATTGTCGAGTTATTTAGCTCAATTTACTAAGGATAATATTCCTTATAATAGTTTTACATAAAATACAAAACATAAGTAAGACCTTTCTCGTGGTAAATATTTACTTCGTGTATCTGATCACTCTAATCTATTTTCTTCAGTTTTAGCCTAACTATACCAAACACCTATATGACCGTATTAATATATATTAATCTGAATAATAACGATTATTAATACTTAAATGTTGGTTTAAATGTCGATTCTGGCGTATGAATAAACGAATACATTTAGCATCTGAAACCCGATAACTAGGGAATGATTAGGTCAGTAGTTTTTCTTCTCTGAAAATGTTGACTATTTATCAAACATTAATTACTTTAAAATCATAATAATTTTAAAATCAGAACATCAGCAGAGCCTAATATTTGTCTTAACTTTATAATCATGGAATATTGATTAAGCTTAGTATGTGAATTTTATTTATTCAACATATTATATTTGTCTATTGAATTTCGATTTATTTACATTATTAATTTACAGCAAAAAAATGATGATTTTCATTAAAATGGAATAGTTCATTTTTGCTACAGGGTACATATTATGTACAAGTATGTTTAAATGACATAAAAAATTCAGACATTTTAAAATATGGTCTTTGACTTAAGAATATTATGAAATTCCAAATTCTATAATAATATGAACACAGTTGTACCGTATAAGAACAAGTGGGCGTGAGGGTTCTTGGTGAATCGTTATAAAATGTAATAATATACTCGCAAAAAATTGCAACTGTTAGATCTTTAATAACAATAACGTATACATATGATTTTGAGACAGCGAAATAAATGGATGTAATTTAATCGTTATACCACGGAACCATTGTGCATACTCGTGTGTGAAATAAGTATACCTATAATCATCTAAGTGACCCAAAAACAAGACTATGAGTGAGAAAAATGATTAAAATATGATGATTATTGTACTGTGCAAATTATATTATCTATAGCCGTTAACCGTCAGTGTCGTCAGCTTTGTACCTGTCTACTCACCACGTATTTTCTCATTTGTGGGCGCTCGGCATTTCCTGTTTCAAAATATATTTAACTCTATTCCCCGAGGTAATCACAAAGAGCCAAGCAAAGAGGAAACCAAAATCTGACTAATATCTGTCGTGCCAGAGACACAAAATTGTTTCAAAATGTTTAAGACAGATTTCAAAGGTAACTAGTATTACAATAAATATACGATAATATAGAATTATATAATAATCGTTTAATAATATGCTTTATTATTATCTACCTATTACCTACAATGTATTGTTTAAAATAAAAACAATTTTTAGTATTCGTTGGTTATCTCGACTACCTATAATGGTTATAGCCTATAATTAAAGCTTAGATAATCGATATAGAACTTTCAAGTTCCAATTCATAAATTTCTTACACGCATATTATGTATCTTTTTAACAGGATTATAATATAGTTATCAGTTATTTATAGTATTTTAAATTTCCAGTGAACAAGTTTCTTATTTAAATTTGTAACTGCGTTTCTGTAAAATAATATGGTATTGGCACTCAAAAGAAGGTCACAGAAATGTCTTCATTAGACAATAAATCTCAGATATTTATGGTAAGGATATTTTAAAAATATTGTATATA